CTGTTCCTCCCGCCGACACCGGCGATGGGTCGCTGTTCCTCCCGCCGACACCGGCGATGGGTCGCTGTTCCTCCCGCCGACACCGGCGATGGGTCGCTGTTCCTCCCGCCGACACCGGCGATGGGTCGCTGTTCCTCCCGCCGACACCGGCGATGGGTCGCTGTTCCTCCCGCCGACTACACTGTATCTGAAACACCACAAACCAAAATGCTATTGAATTCATTTTTATTATTCAAAACAAACTCATGCCCCCCTCCATGCCTCCATGCTTTATTTAGCTGAGAAATCATGTAGCATTTTACTTTCATCCATCTGCGCTTAGCTCAGTCATGCAGGCAGGAGGGTGGTCTTAGCTGAGAAAACCCCTTATCTCCCCTCCATAAGACTCCTCGGATGTATGACTTCATTTACCTGGGGAATATTCGCTATGTACCGCCTCTCCCCGGACCCCGCGTTCGCTATGTCCGCTCTCCCCGGACCCAGCGTTCGCTATGTCCGCTCTCCCCGGACCCCGCGTTCGCTATGTCCGCTCTCCCCGGACCCCGCGTTCGCTATGTCCGCTCTCCCCGGACCCCCGCGTTCGCTATGTCCGCTCTCCCCGGACCCCGCGTTCGCTATGTCCGCTCTCCCCGGACCCCGCGTTCGCTATGTCCGCTCTCCCCGGACCCCCCGCGTTCGCTATGTCCGCTCTCCCCGGACCCCGCGTTCGCTATGTCCGCTCTCCCCAGAACATCAGTGCCACCCATTAGCGCCAATGAATGCCGCCTATCAGTGCCCATCATTGCTGCATATAAGTGCAGCATCATCAGTGCCTCCTCATCAATGCCAAGAAGTGCCACCGTATCAGTGCCCATCATCAGTGCAGCAGCATCAGTGCCTCCTAAATTATAAAAATTTAATATGGGTACAGTGTTGCATGACTGTGCAATTTTCATTCAAAGTGCAACAGCACTGAAAGCTGAAAATTAGCTTGGGGAGAAAGAGGGTGAAAGTGTCCGGACTTGAAGTGGTTAAATAATGGCAACAATTTGCGCAGCATTTTCCATACTGTACATTCACATCAGTCACTGCCTCCTGGTAGGCAAGCGGTTAATGCGATTTTCTTTTTCTAAGCTGTCACCCTTTATTGAAGTGTGATATTAATGGCCATTTACATTTTTTATTTTTTTCTCTCTCTCTCTCTCTCTCTCTCTCCATTCCTGCAGGCCTTGAATACATTTACCAGTATGCTGCAGATAAAAGAGGGGTCATACCGTAACGTATGCATGCTGTGTGATTGTGTTTATAAGCTGGACACCATTTTCTTCCACATTGTCGGGATTAAGCACAGATGTTTGTACTTGGTAAGTTTCTATGTACTTCCCTTCACATCCTTACCTGAATTTTGGAACTCAGATTCTAAGTTGAAAGGAAACTAAACTATGTTGGATTTGTCTTTCCTTTTTTTTTTTTTTTTTTCTGAGTTTGCTTTTGAATATCTACTTGTAATACATGAAGATTTGAAAGAGCTGTGTGCTGTCTATAGAGACCACAGAGCTGCAGCTGCCTTCCTATAGACTGGCTCTGTCTGGTGGCGTTGGACTGAGCCGTCCTACAAGGCACAAGTTGCTGCTCTGACTCCTTCATTTGTGTGTAATTAAATAATAACTAGCAAAATGTTTTATTTATGTGACTAAAATATATATTTTTAAAACATTTTCGCTCCTAAGCAACAGAAAATAATTATGTACCGCTATACAGTTGTGCTCAAAAGTTTGCATCCCCTGGCAGAAATTTGTGAAATTTTGGCATTGATATTGAAAATATCAGTGATCAATCTAAAATCGTGTATTTTCCTTCACATTCTGTATCAGTGACATTGGTCACCAGGACACAGAGAGGGTGAATTATCCCTATGGGGACACAGTCAGCAATACCAACCAATGGGATTAAAGAAATAAAGCGGATTGCTCGAGTTATTTTCGTCAGACTGAACTAAATTATTCAGATTTAAAACGTCTAAATAATTCTGGTCAGACCTTTTCAAATAGTTCTGGTCAACCTTTTATTTATTCATTTCAGGTAGTTATATAGCGCCATCAATTTATGCAGCGCTTTTTATATATATATATATATATATATATATATATAAGTACATTCACATCACTCCCTAACCCTCAAGGGGCGTACAATCTAAGGTCCCCAACATACATACACATACTAGGGCCAATTTAGACAGGAACCAATGAACTTACCAGCATGTCTTTGGAGTACCCGGAGAAAACCCACGCAGGCACAGTGAGAACATGCAAACTCCAGGCAGGTGGTGCCGTGGTTGGAATTCAAACCAACGACCCGAGTACTGCCAGGCGGAAGTGCTAACCATTTAGCTACATTTCAGAGTTGGCAGACTCGCAGTGCTCCATTGTTTTTTTTTTTAATCAGTTCGCTGCTTATGCCCCCCGTACACACGATTAGAACATCGGACAAATGATCGTCCGCTTTTTTTTTTTTTTTTTTGCATGCTAGTCTCATATCGAAAATTAATGTTACTGAAGCAACTAAAATTCTTGTAAGACAGAAAAAAAATTCGGAAGTGATGTCACATATTTGTACAGGCGTACCTCCGTTTACGAATTTAATTCGTTCTGCGGGACTTTTCGTATTGCAAAAAATTTGTAAACCGAAACGCGGTTTCTCATAGGAATGCTTTGACAACCAAAATAATCCGCTCCGGAGGTCAGAAAAAAGTAAAAAAAAAAAAAGTCTTTTATCTGTTCAAAAACTCTTTGTAAAGTGCACTTTAAGTCCGGACACTTTCACCCCCTCACAGGGACATGATTAAAAACAATTAAAAAAAATTGCATTGAAAAGCAATTACCGTATATTTTTCGTATTTTCCCAAAAAAGGGGGGAAAATGTCAGTGTGTCTTATGGAGCGAATATAAAGCGGCCGGTCCGGTATTTTTGCGGTCACCATGTCAGAATACCGGGCCGGCCGCTCAGCTGTTGTCTCCTGCAGGACCTTACCTGTTCCTTGCTCCAGCGCTGCACAGTCTTCCCGCTGGCTTCTGTGACAGCACGGGTGCCCACTGCGCATGTGCTGCGCTTTGTGAATGATCCGGTGTCCTCTTCTGGGACACATGAAAGGTCCCAGAAGGCGCCGGGCCATTCACAAAGCGCAGCGCTTCTCGCGCACACATGCGCAGTGGGCACCCGGCTGTCACAGAAGCCGGCCCGGGAAGAAGAGGGAAGGACAACTCCACGGAAGTGGGAGCGGGTACCTGTCAAATTCAGGTACCCGCTCCCCCTCCCTCCCCAAAGGTCCACAGTCTCTGGTTATTCCCTTCACTGTCTGCAGTCTTGGTCATTCCCTGCACTGTCTGCAGTCTCTGGTCATTCCCTGCACTGTCTGCAGTCTCTGGTCATTCCCTGCACTGTCTGCAGTCTCTGGTCATTCCCTGCACTGTCTGCAGTCTCTGGTCATTCCCTGCACTGTCCGCAGTCTCTGGTCATTCCCTGCACTGTCCGCAGTCTCTGGTCATTCCCTGCACTGTCCGTAGTCTCTGGTCATTCCCTGCACTGTCCGCAGTCTCTGGTCATTCCCTGCACTGTCCGCAGTCTCTGGTCATCTCCTGTACTGTGTCCGCAGTCTGTGGTCATCTCCTGTACTGTGTCCGCAGTCTGTGGTCATCTCCTGTACTGTGTCCGCAGTCTGTGGTCATCCTCTCCTGTACTGTGTCCGCAGTCTCTGGTCATCTCTTGTACTGTGTCCGCAGTCTCTGATCATCTCCTGTAGTACTGTGTCCGCAGTCTCTGGTCATCTCCTGTACTGTGTCCGCAGTCTCTGGTCATCCCTGTACTGTGTCCGCAGTCTCTGGTCATCCCTGTACTGTGTCCGCAGTATCTGGTCATCCCCTGTACTGTGTCCGCAGTCTCTGGTCATCTCCTGTTGTACTGTCTGCAGTCTCTGGTCATCATCTCCTGCACTGTGTCCGCAGTCTCTGGTCATCTCCTGCACTGTGTCCGCAGTCTCTGGTCATCTCCTGTACTGTGTCCGCAGTCTCTGGTCATCTCCTGTACTGTGTCCGCAGTCTCTGGTCATCTCCTGTACTGTGTCCGCAGTCTCTGGTCATCTCCTGTACTGTGTCCGCAGTCTCTGGTCATCTCCTGTACTGTGTCCGCAGTCTCTGGTCATCTCCTGTACTGTGTCCGCAGTCTCTGGTCATCTCCTGTACTGTGTCCGCAGTCTCTGGTCATCTCCTGTACTGTGTCCGCAGTCTCTGGTCATCTCCTGTACTGTGTCCGCAGTCTCTGGTCATCTCCTGTACTGTGTCCGCAGTCTCTGGTCATCTCCTGTACTGTGTCCGCAGTCTCTGGTCATCTCCTGTACTGTGTCCGCAGTCTCTGGTCATTCCCTGTACTGTGTCCGCAGTCTCTGGTCATCTCCTGTACTGTCTGCAGTCTCTGGTCATCTCCTGCACTGTGTCCGCAGTCTCTGGTCATCTCCTGTACTGTGTCCGCAGTCTCTGGTCATCTCCTGTACTGTGTCCGCAGTCTCTGGTCATCTCCTGTACTGTGTCCGCAGTCTCTGGTCATCTCCTGTACTGTGTCCGCAGTCTCTGGTCATCTCCTGTACTGTGTCCGCAGTCTCTGGTCATCTCCTGTACTGTCTGCAGTCTCTGGTCATCTCCTGTACTGTGTCCGCAGTCTCTGGTCATCTCCTGTACTATGTCTGCGGTCCATTGGTTCAGAATTTTTTTTTTTTCTTGTTTTTCACTCTCGAAAAATGTCCTAGGTGTGTGCGTCTTATGGTCAGGTGCGTCTTTATGGAGCGAAAAAATACGGTAATCCGTTCATTTTGCGAAAATAATTCGTAATAACGAGGTATTATTTTTAGAGATGAGCGAAGTATTCAAAAATTCGATTCGGCGAATTTGCGGAATAAATTCGATTCGAGTCGAATATATTCGCTGCGAATTTAACTTATAAAAAGGGTGTTTCTAGGCTTCAGAGAGCCTTTATATTAGTGCAGAACACTGTACCTTTAATTTAAATGCCCTTGGAGTCTGCTGGGGAAGAGAAATAATACTGTCAGTCAGTATGACATGCAGATGAGTGCACCGTCGATCTTAGAAATCACCGCACACTTCAATCATTTGGGCAGTCACGGGGCCAAAACCAGAGTGTGGAGCCACAGTGTGGCGGTGGAGGCAGCGCAGCAATGGGGAGGCCATACAGCACCCTATGACAAAATGGAACCCACCAGCAGTGTGAGGAGACCTGAAAGTGGCACATGGCAGAGCGTGGCGATGGAGACAGCAGCAATGGGAGGCCGTACAGGGACCCATGACACACTCTGGACCTGGCAGCAGCATGAGGAGGCGGGGTACAGGGGCCCATGACAGATTACGGGCCTGGCAGCAGCATGAGGAATCGGTACGGGGGCCCATGTCAGATTACGGGCCTGGCGGAGCAGCAATGGGAGGCCCGTAATCTGCCAGCACCCTATAACAAAATGGAACCCACCAGCAGTGTGAGGAGACCTGAAAGTGGCACATGGCAGAGTGTGGCGATGGAGACAGCAGCAATGGGAGGCCGTACAGGGACCCATGAGACACTCTGGACCTGGCAGCAGCATGAGGAGGCGGTACAGGGGCCCATGACAGATTACGGGCCTGGCAGCAGCATGAGGAATCGGTACGGGGGCCCCATGTCAGATTACGGGCCTGGCAGCAGCAATGGGATGTGGAGGGCCCTATAATCTGCCAGCACCCTATGACAAAAAATGGAACCCACCAGCAGTGTGTGAGGAGACCTGAAAGTGGCACATGGCAGAGTGTGGCGATGGAGACAGCAGCAATGGGAGGCCGTACAGGGGACCCATGACACACTCTGGACCTGGCAGCAGCATGAGGAGGCGGGTACAGGGGCCCATGGACAGATTACGGGCCTGGCAGCAGCAATGGGAGGCCCGTAATCTGCCAGCACCTATGACAAAATGGAACCCACCAGCAGTGTGAGGAGACCTGAAAGTGGCACATGGCAGAGTGTGGCGATGGAGACAGCAGCAATGGGAGGCCGTACAGGGACCCATGACACACTCTGGACCTTGGCAGCAGCATGAGGAGGCGGTACAGGGGGCCCATGACAGATTACGGGCCTGGCAGCAGCAATGGGAGGCCCGTAATCTGCCAGCACCCTATGACAAAAATGGAACCCCCAGCAGTGTGAGGAGACCCTGAAAGTGGCACATGGCAGAGTGTGGCGATGGAGACAGCAGCAATGGGAGGCGTACGTTACAGGGACCCATGACAGATTACGGGCCTGGCAGCAGCATGAGGAGGCGGGTACAGGGGCCATGACAGATTACGGGCCTGGCAGCAGCAATGGGAGGCCCGTAATCTGCCAGCACCCTAAGACACAATGGAACCCACCAGCAGTGTGAGGAGACCTGAAAGTGGCACATGGCAGAGTGTGGCGATGGAGACAGCAGCAATGGGAGGCCGTACAGGGACCCATGACAGATTCGGGCCTGGCAGCAGCATGAGGAGGCGGTACAGGGGGCCCATGACAGATTACGGGCCTGGCAGCAGCAATGGGGAGGCCCGTAATCTGCCAGCACCCTATGACAAAATGGAACCCACCAGCAGTGTGAGGAGACCTGAAAGTGGCACATGGCAGAGTGTGGCGATGGAGACAGCAGCAATGGGAGGCCGTACAGGGACCCATGACACACTCTGGACCTGGCAGCAGCATGAGGAGGCGGTACAGGGGCCCATGGATTACGGGCTGGCAGCATGGTACGGGGGCCCATGTCAGATTTACGGGCCTGGCAGCAGCAATGGGAGGCCCGTAATCTGCAGCACCCTATGACAAAAATGGAACACACCAGCAGTGTGAGGAGACCTGAAAGTGGCACATGGCAGAGTGTGGCGATGGAGACAGCAGCAATGGGAGGCCGTACAGGGACCCATGAGACACTCTGGACCTGGCAGCAGCATGAGGAGGCGGTACGGGGGCCCATGGCAGATTACGGGCCTGGCAGCAGCAATGGGAGGCCCGTAATCTGCCAGCACCCTATGACAAAATGGAACCCACCAGCATGTGTGAGGAGACCTGAAAGTGGCACATGGCAGAGTGTGGCGATGGAGACAGCAGCAATGGGAGGCCGTACAGGGACCCATGAGACACTCTGGACCTGGCAGCAGCATGAGGAGGCGGTACAGGGGGGGCCATGGCAGGATTACGGGCCTGGCAGCAGCAATGGGAGGCCCGTAATCTGCCAGCACCCTATGACAAAATGGAACCCACCAGCAGTGTGAGGAGACCTGAAAGTGGCACATGGCAGAGTGTGGCGATGGAGACAGCAGCAATGGGAGGCCGTACAGGGACCCATGACAGATTACTCTGGACCTGGCAGCAGCATGAGGAGGCGGTACAGGGGCCCATGACAGATTACGGGCCTGGCAGAAGCAATGGGAGGCCCGTAATCTGCCAGCACCCTATGACAAAATGGAACCCACCAGCAGTGTGAGGAGACCTGAAAGTGGCACATGGCAGAGTGTGGCGATGGAGACAGCAGCAATGGGAGGCCGTACAGGGATCCATGACAGATTACTGGGCCTGGCAGCAGCATGAGGATGCGGTACAGGGGCCCATGACAGATTACGGGCCTGGCAGCAGCAATGGGAGGCCCGTAATCTGCCAGCACCCTATGACAAAATGGAACCCACCAGCAGTGTGAGGAGACCTGAAAGTGGCACATGGCAGAGTGTGGCGATGGAGACAGCAGCAATGGGAGGCCGTACAGGGACCCATGAGACACTCTGGACCTGGCAGCAGCATGAGGAGGCGGTACGGGGGCCCATGGCAGATTACGGGCCTGGCAGCAGCAATGGGGAGGCCCGTAATCTGCCAGCACCCTATGACAAAATGGAACCCACCAGCAGTGTGAGGAGACCTGAAAGTGGCACATGGCAGAGTGTGGCGATGGAGACAGCAGCAATGGGAGGCCGTACAGGGACCCATGACAGATTACGGGCCGGCAGCAGCAGCATGAGGAGGCGGTACAGGGGCCCATGACAGATTACGGGCCTGGCAGCAGCAATGGGAGGCCCGTAATCTGCCAGCACCCTAAGACAAAATGGAACCCACCAGCAGTGTGAGGAGACCTGAAAGTGGCACATGGCAGAGTGTGGCGATGGAGGACAGCAGCAATGGGAGGCCGCACAGGGACCCATACTCCGGGACAGATTACGGCGGGCCTGGCAGCAGCATGAGGTGGGGCGGTACAGGGGCCCATGACAGATTACGGGCCTGGCAGCAGCAATGGGAGGCCCGTAATCTGCCAGCACCCTATGACAAAATGGAAACCACCAGCAGCAGTGTGAGGAGACCTGAAAGTGGCACATGGCAGAGTGTGGCGATGGAGACAGCAGCAATGGGAGGCCGTACAGGGACCCATGACACACTCTGGACCTGGCAGCAGCATGAGGAGGCGGTACAGGGGCCCATGACAGATTTACGGGCCTGGCAGCAGCAGCAATGGGAGCCCGTAATCTGCCAGCACCCTATGACAAAATGGAACCCACCAGCAGTGTGAGGAGACCTGAAAGTGGCACATGGCAGAGTGTGGCGATGGAGACATGGGCCCCCTGTCCACGCTTGACTTTCTGGCCACATAGTCGACATTACGGCTACGTTTACTTCCTCGGGCGGCGTGACGAAAAATTGCCACACCGCCGAGTAGGAAACTTTGCCCCCCGCTACTCCTCACTGGCTGACTGCTACTTCCTCCGTGCACACCGGCACCACTACTGGCCGTGGTGGTAGGCTGCAGTGGAGCTGGTGCTCTACTCCGTGGCCGTTTGCCTCCACTGACACTGCTGCGACCCCTGCTGCTTCCTGGGCAACCCACCGACTGTTTTGCTCGCTGCCAAGCTGGCACCCTCTTCTCCTGATGATGCGGAAGCAATAGCCTGATGACGACGAGGCTGCCAAGTGCGATCAGCCTCATCATCATCAATTAGGGTCTCCGCCTCACTACTAGCCCCCTCGGCTGCGTGTGGGTCAGGAGACAGACCTGTCTCTAGACCGGCTACCGAGCCACTCTCCGCCAGTCGCCTTCTTCGCCTGGCTGCTGAAGAGGCGGATGTCTCCCCCGTTCCTGACCGCCCTCTGTTAGCTCTTCCTCACTGTACAGTGGGGCTGAGCCCACAGCATGCGATACTTCGCTTGGTGAGGGAACACCAAAGGACAGGGGCAGGTAGAGGACACGTGATTTCAGTGGGCTTGCTCCCGAGCCATGCCAACTAACGGTTGTGTCTGACGTACCCACCGACCGTTGGCTGTAGGTGTCAGAGGTGACCTGGGAAGAGGAAGACGACCGAGCCAAACCAATCGATGAGGACGGCAGGGTTGTCGGTGGAGACACGACCGCTGGATGACACCGGGAGCACTGGCCTCTGGCTGCGACTAGTGCTGCCTCGACCCCTTCTCTGCTGCTGCCACGTCTGCTCGCTCCTGAAACATTGCCTCCTCTGCCACTCCTCTGCGTGTTGTCTGACATACTCTTTAATTCAACGATTCTGTGTCCCTGAGTAACGATTCAGTGTCCCTGAGTAACGATTCAGTGTCCCTGAGTAACGATTCAGTGTCCCTGAGTAACGATTCAGTGTCCCTGAGTAACGATTCAGTGTCCCTGAGTAACGATTCAGTGTCCCTGAGTAACGATTCAGTGTCCCTGAGTAACAATTCAGTGTCCCTGAGTAACAATTCTGTGTCCCTCAGTAACAATTCTGTGTCTGTCCCTCAGTAACAGTTCTGTGTCCCTGAGTAACAGTTCTGTGTCCCTGAGTAACAGTTCTGTGTCCCTGAGTAACAGTTCTGTGTCCCTGAGTAACAGTTCTGTGTCCCTGAGTAACGATTCTGTGTCCCTGAGTAACGATTCTGTGTCCCTGAGTAACGATTTCTGTGTCCCTGAGTAACGAATTCTGTGTCCCTGAGTAACGATTCTGTGTCCCTGAGTAACGATTCTGTGTCCCTGAGTAACGATTCTGTGTCCCTGAGTAACAATTCTGTGTCCCTCAGTAACAATTCTGTGTCTGTCCCTGAGTAACAGTTCTGTGTCCCTGAGTAACAATTCTGTGTCCCTCAGTAACAATTCTGTGTCTGTCCCTCAGTAACAGTTCTGTGTCTGTCCCTGAGTAACAGTTCTGTGTCTGTCCCTGAGTAACAGTTCTGTGTCCCTGAGTAACAGTTCTGTGTCCCTGAGTAACAGTTCTGTGTCCCTGAGTAACAGTTCTGTGTCCCTCAGTAACAGTTCTGTGTCCCTCAGTAACAGTTCTGTGTCCCTGAGTAACAGTTCTGTGTCCCTGAGTAACAGTTCTGTGTCCCTGAGTAACAGTTCTGTGTCCCTGAGTAACAGTTCTGTGTCCCTGAGTAACGATTCTGTGTCCTTGAGTAACGATTCTGTGTCCCTGAGTAACGATTCTGTGTCCCTGAGTAACGATTCTGTGTCCCTGAGTAACGATTCTGTGTCCCTGAGTAACGATTCTGTGTCCCTGAGTAACGATTCTGTGTCCCTCAGTAACAATTCTGTGTCTGTCCCTGAGTAACAGTTCTGTGTCCCTGAGTAACAATTCTGTGTCCCTCAGTAACAATTCTGTGTCTGTCCCTCAGTAACAGTTCTGTGTCTGTCCCTGAGTAACAGTTCTGTGTCTGTCCCTGAGTAACAGTTCTGTGTCCCTGAGTAACAGTTCTGTGTCCCTGAGTAACAGTTCTGTGTCCCTGAGTAACAGTTCTGTGTCCCTGAGTAACAGTTCTGTGTCCCTCAGTAACAGTTCTGTGTCCCTCAGTAACAGTTCTGTGTCCCTCAGTAACAATTCTGTGTCCCTCAGTAACAATTCTGTGTCCCTCAGTAACAATTCTGTGTCCCTCAGTAACAATTCTGTGTCCCTCAGTAACAATTTCTGTGTCTGTCCCTGAGTAACAGTTCTGTGTCTGTCCCTGAGTAACAATTCTGTGTCCCTCAGTAACAATTCTGTGTCCCTCAGTAACAATTCTGTGTCTGTCCCTGAGTAACAATTCTGTGTCCCTGATTAACAATTCTGTGTCCCTGAGTAACGATTCTGTGTCCCTGAGTAACGATTCTGTGGCCCTAAAGTCTCTCTGGCCCTAACTCTGTCCCTAATACAGAGAGGTCTGTCTCTCTTGAATGACCGGAGGCTAATGGAGAATTCTAAGATGGCCGCAATTTATAGCTCGACCATTACACAGTGCTGGCTGCTGATTGGCTAATGCGATCACATGTCATGAATGAATGCATTATGGGTCAGCGCGCCTTGTCTGCGCGCCTTCCCAGAGATCCCCGCTCCGTCGCCACACGTCGCCGCCATTTTTGGAAAATTTCGATTCGCGCATCCGAAGTCTGCTAATTTTCGGATTCGGCGAATCTTCGAAACGAATTCCACTTCGCCAAGTTCGATTCGCTCATCTCTAATTATTTTCATTCGTAAACCGAAAATTGCAATAACCGAGGCGTTCGTAAACCGAGGTACGCCTGTACTTTATTTTCGGCAAACAAATGCACTGATTGAACTAAAAATCGTACGAGAGAAATTTTTTGTGCTCGTCCCTTCTAATATTTTCATACGAAAGCTGTGTGCTAACGATCAGATTATCGAACGATTGCTTCAAAAGCGGTATTTTTCGTACGATTTTCTTGATCGCGTCTGCAGGGCATTAGACCTCTATAGGCTGCCTGCAGATCAGCTGATGGGATAATCGATGGGCAGGAGTCTATCTATTAACACTTGATATAAGGGAGGGTGTAGTGGGTACTTAAAGCGGCACTCCAGCCTTTCTCCTCCCCCTTGCTTCTTCTCCCTCCAGTGACCGTGTGGGGGGTAGCCCAGCGGCATATCTACTGCGAGGCAAACAAGGGCGGTCTTTTTTTGGAGGGGGCTGACATAAGGGACACTTGGGTCGATCTGATGCCCCAGAAAGGCCTCCTCAGCGCTTCTTTGCTCACAGACAGTAATCAATTATTAGTTTCCTGGCTGGCCGAGACCCGTTTTCGCTTGTTCCTCTGCTGGCGCTACTGCCCCCTGGTTGCTAGGACCGCCTGGCATCTAGCAACCAGTGACATCACATCACCTAATGCAGAAAGGGGCCGAGGCCCCGGCATTCAGAGCGGAGGAGGATTTTACTTCTACACTCCTATTGGTTAGCTCTGCCCATCTCCACCAGAATCTGCGGCGGCGTTGCTCAGAGTGAAGGGAACTGGATTTGAGTGTCAACTGTGAGGTGCTGAAGTGATGCCGGGCATCGGGGATGGAACCATTTGTGTCATAACTGAGGGAGCCAGGCAGAGACCTATACAGAGAGGATGGCAGATGAGCTGACAGCAGAGGACAGGTGACACCATCGGAAGGATGGGAGGAGGAGGTGACATCCTTAGATGTCAGAGAGTCATGCTGGGATGTGCCCCCCCCCCTCAAAAATGAAGGACTACGGGTCCCAGCATAAAATATAAACCCCTTTAGAGCTGAGGATGTGAAACCCCTTCGGGCCTCCACCCCTCCATTTAGTGAAGGACTACAGGTCCCAGCATGAACCCATGAGGTCTAAGTCACATCCTTCGATTTAAAGGGTTCATGCTGGGACTTGTAGTCCTTCACTAGTTGGGGGGGGGTGTCACATCCTCAGCTCTGAGTGGTTCATGCTGGGACTTTCAGCCTGTAACTTTGTGGGGGGGCTCACATCCTTAGATCTCAGGGGCTCATGCTGGGACTTGTAGTCCTTCACTAGTTTGGGGTGGGGGGGTCACATCCTCAGCTCTGAGGGATTCATGCTGGGACTTTCAGCCTGTCAATTTTGGGGGGGGGGAGGGTCACATACTTAGATCTCAGGGGCTCATGCTGGGACTTGTAGTCCTTCACTAGTTGGAGATTGGGGGGGGTCTCGTTCTTAGCTCTGAGGGGTTCATGATGAGACTTGTCTGCACTACCTGCACTTTAGTTCCTGGAGGCCATGGTAGTACAAGTAACCCAGGGGCCCTAGATGGCCACATTGTCCTCCCCCCACCTTTGTGATCATGGAAAACCTTAGACTGTGTTTCCTGATCCATCATTCTGCCACCACTGGCTCCAATTTAGGTGTGGGGGCGCCTGATTTTTAGTCTTGCCTAGGGCACCACAAATCCAAAATACACCACTGGGGTCCTTTCATGGCTCAGTGCTGCTCATATAATGACCTGGGAGCTCCGTTCACTCCTTGAGTACTATGAGCACAGTCTGTTGGATGGAGGTCTGATAGAGAATAATAATATCTTTAAAGAATATATAAACCCAACAATTCAAATTCCTGATATGTGCCTGCTGTACTTGTATGGGAAAGTCTCCCACTTCCTTTGTATGAAATCTCTGGTGTTCCTGCCAGTCCCTCTGCGTTTCTATTAAAAACTGACCACACCAGGCATGAGAGCACAGTGT